TATACTATATGAAATATTTTTCAATGTAATAAAAATGAAAATAAATTGAACCCGAGAATATTAAGCACATGAAAACAAAATCTGCTATATTGTGAAAAGATACATTGGTTGCTCACATGAAATATTCAAATAATTAATACAAAGGTAATTTAAAATTTTTTTACTTATTAATTTTATTTTATGTGTATGAGTGTATTGCCTGCACGTACGAGTGCACCCGTGTCGTGGAATGCCTCAGAGGTCAGAAGAAGTCTTCAAATTCCCGTGGAACTGGAGTTACAGAAAGTTCATAACCACCGTGTGGGTTCTGGGACTCGAACCCAGGTCCTCTGCAAGAGTAGTCAGTGCTCTTAACTGCTGAGCCATCTCTCCAGCCCCACAGCCAGAGTTCTTAACCGCTGAGCCATCTCTCCAGCCCCACAGCCAGAGTTCTTAACCGCTGAGCCATCTCTCCAGCCCCACAGCCAGAGTTCTTAACCGCTGAGCCATCTCTCCAGCCCCACAGCCAGAGTTCTTAACCGCTGAGCCATCTCTCCAGCCCCACAGCCAGAGTTCTTAACCGCTGAGCCATCTCTCCAGCCCCACAGCCAGAGTTCTTAACCGCTGAGCCATCTCTCCAGCCCCACAGCCAGAGTTCTTAACCGCTGAGCCATCTCTCCAGCCCGATGATGCTCACCTTTAATCCCATCATTTGAGAGGTCAGGGCAACAACACCTCTGTGAGTCTGAGACCAGCCTAGTGTATATAGTGACTTTCAGGCCAGTGAAGGCTACATAGTGAGACTTTGTCTCAAAATAATCAACCAAACAAACAGAAGTATAACTTGGGGCTGTGGGTGTAGCTCAGAGTCCTTGAAGCTCTGGGTCCAGTCCTCAGCACTGTATAAACAAGGCACAGTGGCGCACATCTGCAGTCTCAGCACTGTGGAGGTGGAAGCAGGAGGATCAGAAGTTCCAGGTCATTCTCAGGCTACATAGCATGTTTGAGGCTAGCCTAGGACACACAAGACTCAAAGTGTATCAAAATAATCTATATGAATTTGAATATAATAATTCTTTATAAATGTTAATTTTCATATGCTGGGCTTCAAGAAGAAAGTCAAGACCATAGGAGGCAGTCTAGCTGTTTAAGGATGTTAGAGATACATCAGAGTATTGAGAAGGGTCGTAGACAATGAATTGATTATAGAATTGGAATGGGAGTTGCAATGTGTGATTTCCTATACGCATATTAATTTAGCCCAGGCTGGCCTCAAATTTGCTATGTAGCTGAGGTTGGCCTTGAATTCCTGATCCTCCTGCCTGAGTGCTGTGGTTACTGTCAGGACACCACTCCAGGCTTCTCTCATCGCTAGGAGAGGGCAGAGAAGACAGTTTCTGTTTTATTGACATTTGAAACTCCAGAGGCCACCATAGAACTGGGGGTTCTGAATAGCATTTACCCATGCAGCAACTACTCACTGCATGGCTAAATGCTATTTGAGTAGTTTTGGGTGAGTTCCAATTTGTTTTCCATCTGTCTTATAAAATCCCCCCCTCCCCCGCCCGTCAGTGCTGGAGATTGAACACATGACATTGTGTATATTAGGCAAGGGCTCTACAGCTGAGGTACAGCCCCAGTTCCCTGCCTTTTTTCTTTATTTTTAGAAATATATTATTTTTGTCAGGCGTGGTGGCCCACACCTTCAATCCCAGCACTTGGGAGGCCGAGGCAGGCGGATCTCTGTGAGTTTGAGGCCAATCTGGTCTACATAGTGATAAATTTTTTTTTTTTGAGACAGGGTCTCCCTGGCCTGGATTCGCTATGGAGACCAGGGGGAACTTGAACTGACAGATCTGCCTGCCTCTGTCTCCGGAGTGCTGGGATTAAAGGAGTACGCCCCCACACCCGGCTAAGATTTTTCTTTTTCTTTTCTTTTTTTGTCTTTTTGAGACAGGGTCTCCCTGTAGCCCCAGCTGCCCTGGAATTCACTATGTAGACCAGGCTGGCCTTGAACTCGCAGAGAGCTGCCTGCCTCTGCCTCCCAAGTGCTGGGACTACAGGCATGCGCCGCCACACCCGGCCTTAAGATTTCTTTTTTAACGATGTGTATGTGAGTAGGTCTGTGTAGGTAGATATGTACACAGGTGTGGCTCCTTCTGTTCTGGAGTTCAGGTGGTTGTGAGTCGCTGGTATAGGTGCTGTGAACGGAACTCAGGTTCTCTGCAAGAACTGCTGAGCCACCTCTTCAGCCTTTGTTTCCTTCTCTCTTTCCTTCCTTTTTCTTTCTTTCATGTTTTTGTTTTGAAGGGTCATGTGGCCCAGGCTGGTCTCGAACTCACTAAGTATCTGAGGACGACCCTGAATTTAGGTTTCTCCTGTCGCCACGTCCTGAGTGCTGGGATTACAACGCGGCACTGGGGGTGAAGCCCAGGGCTGTAAGGCAAGCACTCTGTCAACCGAGCCACAGCCCGAGCTCTTCTTTTCAGACTGAATTCTCCGCGGGTACTGCTGATTTGGCTTCGCCCTCCGCTGTGCATGGTAGAAGGTCCGCTGTGCTGTTTGCAAAAGGAGCGCAGCCACCCCGCCGGCCTGGAACCCTGGGAGCGGCAGGGCGGGGCGGGCAGGGCCCCGCCCACCAGGGGGATAACGCCCACGGTGGCCCCGCCCACCAGGAAGCGAGACCCCGCGGTGGCCCCGCCCACCAGCAGAAGGGCACGGTGGTCGCGCCCACCGGGAGGTGGCGCCTTATCGGAGTCCCGCCCCCGCGGAGGCGCGGCCTGCGGCGCGCGGGAAGTGGAGAGCGGCAGCGGCGGGAGGTAGTGGCTCCGCGGACTGCCGGGTCCCTGCAGGTACGGCTCCCGGGTGGATCCCCGGGCCCCGCGCGCTTCCGGGCCGGGCCTGGGCCGCTGGCCGAGATCTGCCGGGCGGCTGGGGCGGGCGGGAGTCGGGTCCATCCCCGGGTTGGGTCCCTGCGCGCCTCTCTCCACGCTCAGCCGGGCCACTATGGCCCTGCGCCGGGGGCCGGGGAAAGATAGGCCGGTCGGGTCCCCCGAGCCCCCTCCCCCTGATCCGCCTCTCCTGGAGGCCCCTTCCCGGGATGGCCCTCTCCCTGGGGGACCTCATCCAGGCCGGATGATGCACTGTGCCGCCCAGCCTTGCGTCTATGTAGACGTTTGACTATTATTTTTCCTTTTTCGTAATCCTAAACTTGGAAGTCAGTGCTTAAGGAAGCATTCTATTAACATGCTCTCCCATTACAGTGCAAGTTATTTTTTTAATATATATTTTATTTATCTTTATTTTATGTGTATGCGTGTTATGCCTGCATGTAGGTAAGTGCACCCACCCGTGTTGTGCAATGCCCGTGGAGGACAGAAGAGGCTGTTGGATCCCCTGGAACTAGAGTTACCGACAGTTGTTAGCTGCCATGTGGGTGCTGGAATTCGAACTCTGGTCTTCTGCAAAAAAACCCAGTGTTCTTAACCGCTGAGCCATCTATCCAGCCCCCTACAGTGCAGTTTTAAGTGGTTCTTGGCTACTAATAAGCAAGCGTTTAAGAATTGCTATTGAATTCATTGCTAACGTTTCCAGCTTCCCTAGGTCTTTGGAAAAGGAACGCCGCTGGAGGAAGGTTTTTGCCCCGTTTAGACCCGGGAGGATGAAAGTGATCACGTGTGAAATAGCCTGGCACAATAAGGAGCCGGTGTACAGCCTGGACTTCCAGCCCACCACGCTGGGGAGGATACACCGACTGGCGTCTGCGGGCGTAGACACTGCTGTCCGGGTAAATGGAGCAGGCATGGGAAGATGGAGTGAAGCCCTACTTGGAGCCAGTTTCCATTATTTTTATTTAAAACTAATGTCAACAATTCCACTTGGTTTGCCATCCAGCCAGAATGCTAATTCTGGCTAGAGAGGTTGGCTTTCTTATTTCACATTCCTGACACTGTTGCAAGTGGATGCCAACATTGTAGAATATGAAACAGAGAAGCCTGGTGGTGCAGGCTTGTAATCCCAGCAATTGAGAGGTAGAGGCTGGAGGATCAGAAGAAAGTTCAAGAGTCTCCTTGGTATATAGTGAGTTTGAGGCTCCTCTGGGCTATGTGATACACTGTTTCAAAAAAGAAAAAAAAAAAGCTAATTGAACAGAATTCCTTTGAGATGTCAATTTGCTCTAGAGAAAAGCAGCTGGAGGAAGAGTTATTTAGTATAAGATGGTAGATGCTCACTGTGTTTCTCTAGTGAATGTTTGGTATTGACAGATCTGGAAAGTGGAAAAAGGACCAGATGGGAAAGCCATTGTGGAGTTCCTGTCCAATCTCACTCGGCATGCCAAAGCTGTCAATGTTGTGCGTTTTTCTCCAACTGGGGAAATTTTAGCATCGGGAGGAGATGGTAAGTATTGTACTTAACAGTCCCTAAAAAACCTGGTCTTAGGTATCTAATGTCTAGTAGTGACATTTGAGGTGGGGGTGGGGCACAGGTCTGTAATCAGAGCACTTGGGAGCCTGTCTGTGACAGAGTCAGCTATGTCTCTTATGTCTCTTAATTCATTGACTTTGGGAATGTTTCTATTGCACTTTGTGTCTGTTTGTAGTAGATTGATTTGTATTGTTTGCCTGTGCTTAAGTGAGATAAAAAAATACAGAAAAGGTAACCCTTATGCTAGTCATAAAAATAATCTAGAAAACGTAAAGTAAAACAGAAATCATTGTATTTGGAGAAAGAGGAAGACACCTGGTTGAGTTTGGTCCTGTTATGTCCAGAATATATGGATATATGGTGTGTGTGTGTGTGTGTGTGTGGTGTACATGCATAGGTGTACATGTATATATGGGAAGTGGTAAGTGGAACGTCTCCTGAGGGAGCCCAGAGGCGTATTTCCTATGACGTGACCGCAGGATAGTGCTTTTACAAAGTCATTTGGCTTTTAAGCCCCAGAAACCTGCTTCTAGGCAGCACATGGAGAGTGTTCATCTGTCAGGGCCTGGCTCATCTCCAACAAGCCCCCAGACAAATGTGTGCAGCTAGATTCCAGTGATTTCTTGCTTCACATTCCCTACATTGTTGCAAGTGGGTGCCAACATTGTAGAGTTAGTTCTGTTTGTCTGTCTCCCATTATTCCTTTAGCTCCTTCCTGAACATCCTAACAAGGAATCAAGTCATGTGGGTGGCTGTGTGGTAAGCATGTAATCAGCATGTGAGAAGTTGCCAGGCTAGGGTCAGGTGAAGGTTTCTGATAGATCCATAATGATATCAGTAGGTAACTGTGGTATGAGATGCACCATGTGCCATGCACCATGCTGAACCTGCTTTATGCAAATTCCTCTATTCCTCACGCAGTAGCACTGTGAGGTGGGTGTGCTTTCATTGTTCTATTTTCCAGTGAGGAGACAAGCATCAAGATACCTGTTGACTTGTTGAGGTTCCATAGGCAAAATTTGCAAATCCTTGCATGGGGTGGTTCACTCTTTCTTTCTTGTTTTGGGAGGGGGAGGTAAAGATTTGTCTATCAAGTGTATGCATGTGTGCCTGCATGTGTGCCTGCATGAGTTTTTGTGCGCCATGTGTGTGCAGGTGCCCAAGGGAGTCAGAGGGTATCGAGCTGATCAATCCCCTGGAACTTGAGGTGCAGGCAGTTGTGAGCCACTTGATGTGGGTACTGGGAACCAAACCAAGGTCCTCTGCAAGAGCAGTAAGCACTCTTAACCTCTGAGCCATTTCTGTAGCCCCAGCTCTTTGCTCTTTTTTCTTTCCTCCCTTTCATCTTCCTCTGTTCCCTTTCATGTTCATCTGTTCATAGGTTTCCCCTTAGTTTGTCAGAGCAGTCAGCTGCAGAGGCATTTTGTTGGCCTTTTGTTTAAGGTAACTCTGTGTAGCTATGGTCTATTATGATTTAGTTTTGTTCTTGTTTTTTGACATAGGGTCTCATGTAGCCCAGGCTGGCCTTGAATGCCTCACTTTGTAGCCAAGACCAGCCTTGAACTGTCTCAACCTCCCAAGTGCTAGATTACAAACAAGCACCACCCTGTGCAGCTTGTCCAAATTCTTAGACAGAAATCATCACTGCCAAAGTGTCCACTGAACAACATAAAACTTGTTTAGTGCCCTCAAACTCCAGTAGCAAAGGAGGGTACGGTACAGCCTGGCTCTGCTTGATTGGCTCACTCCGCAGATGCTGTCATTCTGCTGTGGAAGGTGAACGATAACAAGGAACCAGAGCAGATCTCATTCCAGGATGAAGATGAGGCCCAGCTGAATAAGGAGAACTGGACTGTGGTGAAGACCCTGAGGTAAGCTGGGAGGGACCACAGAGCATGTCATCTGTACAGCCCGAGTGCTTCTTTATTTTATTTTATATTTTATTTTATGTGTATGAGTGTACTGCCTGCATGTGTGTGAATGCACCTGTGTCGTGCAATGCCAAGGAAGTCAGAAGAGAGCTTCGGATTCCCCTGGAACTGGAGTTAAGGACGGTTTGAAGCTGCCATGTGGGTGCTGGGAATCGAGCCCAGGTCCTCTGCAAGAGCAGTCAGTGCTTTTAACTGCTGAGCCATCTCTCCAGCCCCCTGAGTACTTCTTAAGAAAATTATTATTTATTTTTATGTGTATGTGTGTGTCTGTTTGTCTCTATATGCACCATGTGTGTGCAGTACCAACAGAAGCCAGAAGAGGGTGTCAGATCGCTTGGAACTAGAGTTGCAGGCAGTTATGAGCTGCCTGACGTGGGTGCTGGGAACCAGACTCCAGTCCTCTGTAAGACCAGTGTGTGCTCTTTACCACCTCTCCAGCTCCAAGACCATAAAGGATAAAAATGTGATTAAAGTAGATTTTCTTTCCGTTACAAAGTTTTCTGTAGTAAGAAGTGATTCAGATTTCCCCCCATTTTTGAACCAGGCTGGCCCAGGCTGTGTAACCTAAGCTGGTTTTGAACTCTCCATTTCACTGCCTTAGCTTCCTGACTGCTGCGATTATAGGCCTGGGCCCGCATGCCTGCCTGCAATGAATTGATTTTAGATACAAATATCCATAAAAATGGCTGTTTATAGCTAGGGCTAAATGTCTAGTGAACATTTCTAGAATCTTGTTTGTTTTAGACAGGGTCTCATTATGTAGCCCTGGCTGACCTGGAACTCTATGTAGACCAGGCTGCCTCAAACACACAGAGATCCTTCCCAAGTGCTGGGATTAAAGGCGCACACCACGATACCCAGCTACTTAGAATCTAATGTTCTTGCATGGTCTCAGAGTATCCCTTTAACTTTTTGATTGCTTTTCTCTTTTTTTCAATAATGTCTTTTCTTCTGGCTTCTTGGATTCTAGGGGCCACTTAGAAGATGTATATGATATTTGCTGGGCAACTGATGGGAATCTAATGGCCTCTGCCTCTGTGGACAACACAGCTATCATATGGGATGTCAGTAAAGGTAAGTGGTATACTTTTTAAAATTATGTGTGTATGTATGGATGTATGTACACGAGTGCAGGTGCCTGAGGAAGCCAGAGGTGTTGGATCCCACTGGAGCTGGAGTTACAGACAGTTGTGAAGCCACCCAGTCTGGGTGCTGGGAACCAAATTCAAGTCTGTGCTGGACACACCTGGGTTGAGGGAGCCTCAGTTGGGGAATTGCCTTCATTGGACTGGCCTGTGGCCATGTCCATGGGGCACCTTCTTGATTGTTGACTGATGTGGAAGGGCCCAGCGCATTGTGGGTGGTGCCACCCCAGGGCAGGTGGGCCTGTGTTGCATAAGAAAGCAAGCTGAGCAGGGGCCAGGGGAGCAAGCCAGTAGCAGTGTTCTCCATGGTTTGTGCTCCAGCTCCTGCCTCCAGGTTCTTGCCCTGAGTTCCTACCTTGGGCTCCTTGATGAACTGTGAACTGGGAAATGTAAGACAAATAAACCCTTTCCTCCCCAAGTTGGTATTAGTCAGAGTGTTTTGTTACAGCAACGGAGAGACAAACTAGGACAAAGTCCTTTCCAAGAGCAGCAAGCACTCTTAACTGTTGAGCCATCTCTAGCCCAAGCAGTATGCTTTTGCTCTTATGAAGAGGAGGGATTGTTGTAATTATCTAAGAAAGTCTAACTTGATATGTCTTCAAGAACAGCAGGAAAATTCCCTTCCTGAACTAAGATAGGTGACAGCCCAACAGGAGAAAGATTGTTTGTACCTGCGGTGGATCCAGCTCAGCTTTTAGGCTCCACTTTGAGTGAAGGAGACTTGGCAGAGGTCTTGGGAATTATTGCTGTCTACTAGAGGCAAATTCTACATGCTTGGGGATGTGGACTGAGGGAGTCAGGCAGGGAGCACAGGATTTGGGAGATTAACACACCATTTAGTCCACCATCAGCTTGGATTTGTGAGTTGGTTGATGGTTGTGGGATTGGGTTTCCATTTTAGGAGGTTAAGGAAAGCTAAGGGTACCCCATCACTTTAAAGAGACTGTTCGCTAAATAGGAGCAGAGGCCCTGTGGTAGGCTGTGTGCATTATTCAGGGGCATGGCACAGGGCCTGTGGGAGCAGTAGGAGCAGAGGCCGTGTGGTGGCTGTTGCTTGTCATAACCAAGGAACAGGATGGGATGAGGGAGGGGGAGGGTGGGGGCTGAGGTTGGAGAGGTGAGGGGTAGGCCACCTGTGGTTGTAGACCCGAAAGATGATGTTAGGGTTTGTCCAAAGTGTGTCAGGATATTGACAAAGGATTTGAACAGTGGAATAGCATGATTTTGTGCTTTAAAATGATGTCCCTGAGACTGGAGAGATGGCTTGGTGGTATCTATGCACTGTGGCATGTATATGCACACACATACACATAACTAAGAAATAAAAAATTTAAAAAGTAAAATGATGAAAGATGGTTTTCTTAATGCTTTTGCAATGAAACAGAGAAATATAAATCTATCTATTTTGTTATTAGAATGCCTTCACTCATTTTATTTCCACATACAGTGTCTCCAGGCTGATCTTGGTTTCTTCTAAAAGCTGAACTTCTCTGATCTCCGTCTGTGCTTTGTACCTGCCTCCTGGTGTCTCTTCCCTGTCCTGTTGAACATTCCCTCAGCACAACAGCATACTAGTGGTCTACTTTATGCTAAGGTGTGGAGGACTGTTATTACTTTAGTGAATTTTTTTCTCTTAGAAACATTTACTTTTAGGGGTTGGAAAGAGGGCTCAGTGGTTAGGAGTGCTGGCTGCTCTTGCAGAGGACCCAGGTTTGGTTCCCAGCACCCGCATGGAGACTAACAGCTGTCCATAACTCCATTTCTAGGAGATCTGACACCCCTTGGCCTGCATGCATGTGGTGCACAGAAACTCAGGTAGACACACACACAAATTTTTAAAAATCTTTAGAAAACAAACCCATATGAGGGCTGGAGAGATGACTCGGTGGTTAAGAGCACTGATTGCTCTTGCAGAGGACTCAGGTTTGGTTCCTAACACGTACATGGCAGCTAACAACCCTCTATAACTCCAGTTCCAGGGGATCTAAGGCCCTCTTCTGGCCTCCTTGGGCATTGTATTCATGTAGTGCACTTACATGCAGGCAAAGCACTCATATACATAAGACAAAAAACACTTCCTCTCTCGGTGGCACATGGCAGGTAGACAGTAGGAGAACCCAGAGGCTGAGGGGAAGCCTGTTGAGGTGAGGACGTGATTCAGAGGTGATGCTGTATGGGCTGGGGCATAATGAAGAGCAGGTGAGGATGGCTTTGCTTGTAGAGCCACTGTCCTCTGGGCAGGACATGGGGGCCATCTTTCTAGCCCCTGAGGTTAAAGCCTTTGAGTGGTGACTTGAATTATAGAATAATGTCATTCTCTTTGAGAGAAACATAACAGTCTGCATAGCCTGTGGGCACCTAGAAGCCTTATTTTATCCACTACTAAGACAGGCATTAAGTTAAATGAATAGAATTCAAGCTGATGTTTGTTTCAGAAGAATCTGGACTTAGAAATGAGTTTAGGTCCAAGTTCCTCTTGGTGTTCCTACACCCAGCTGTGGCAAGCATGTGAGTGGAGCTGGCGAGGGCCCTCTGCGCTGACCACCAGCCTGATTAAGGCAGGAGGTAGAGAGCAGGAGGGGCAGCCTCTAGAAGATGACAGAGACATGCCCTGAAAAGTGTTTAGGGCTGGGCATGGTGGCACACGCCTTTAATCCCAGCACTCAAAAACAAAACACACCACTATGGAGACCAGGCTGGCCTTGAATTCACAGAGATCTGCCTGCCTCTGCCTCCCAAGTGCTGGGATCAAAGGTGTGCGCCACCACGTGCAGCCTAATTCCCTTTTCTTTTTTCCCAGGAAATCTTCATGCTGCTGATTTATCTTCTAATTATCTGTTAAGACTGTCCAGTTCAGGCCCTCTGCTCTACATGACCTAACTTGTGACTATTTTTGTCATATTTTCTAAAATTCAGTTTGTTTGTTTTTTAAAATTTATTTATTGGACAGGCGTGTGTGGAAGTCAGAGGACCACTTCTAGCAGTCCAGTCTCTTTTTCTGCTGTGTGGGTCCCTGGGATGGGTCAGATGTCAGGTTTGATAGCAGAGACCTTGACCCACTGAGCCATCTCTGTGGTGCCATGTTTTTTTTTTTGAGAAAGGGTCTCAAGTAGCCCAGGCTGGCTTGGGAACTCTCTTTATGGCCAAGACTGGATTCCCACTCCTTCCTCTTCCCAAATGCTAGGATTACAGGTGTGCACCACCATGTTGAGATTCAGTGTCCTCTTTGAAACACAGGTCACTTGTAAGCTTGGAGGTCTTTCTGCCTCCCACCCCTAGCCCAAGCGTCTCTGACTGTACTGTCTCTTCCTCTTCATCTTGTTCCTGGCTTCCCTGTTTCCCATTGGTGGTTCTTAGGTACTTACCACAGCCACATATGCTAAGCTCAGCTGTGAGAGGATGAGAATTTTCACACAGACAGACAGACAGACAGACAGACAGACACACACACACACACACACACACACACATCCTGTCCAACCTGGAGAACTAAACAACTCAGGTGTCCAATGCTCACCCCTGCTTCCTCCCCTGGCCCCCAATAGCCTTATACTAGCTGTGGATGCCTGTCTCTATTACTCTGTGAGTGTCATGAGGGCCGTGTGGAGTGATCTTTGGGTTAACAGAGCCTGATACAAGGTTTGGAATAGAGCCTCTGCAAGACTGCCTGCTACATGGTGGACTGGAAGGAAAGGAATGATGTGTATATAAGTCATAGTTTATACAACATGTTTCCTGGGAGGTTTTGGTGATGCTTTTGTGTATTCTTTTTGTAGGACAAAAGATTTCCATCTTTAATGAACATAAAAGTTACGTACAAGGAGTAACCTGGGATCCTTTGGGTCAGTATATTGCTACCCTGAGTTGTGACAGGTATGTTAGTAACGTGGGATTTCTGCAGATCCTTTTATCACAGCTTCACTAAGATAGATGGCAATCAACTTGAGTCTTCTGTTTTGTTTTCATGCTCTGTTCTGAAAACATAAGAAATTGGAAACTAAGGGGCTAGAGATGGCTCTGCAGTTAGGAGTGTGTACCGCTCCTTCGGAAGATCTGGGTTCACTTCCCAGCACCCACTTTGGGAGTCTCTTAACAACTGCAACTCCGGCCTCAATGCCTTCTTCTGGCCTCAGCAGGCAACTGCATGCCAGTGGTGCACATACATACAGTCAGACCCATGTATATCAAATACTATAAACTTCAAAAAGAAGAGAAGAAACTGGAAACTAATTAGGCCAAGGTGCTTTACATGGAGTTAGTACTTAGCAAACTTTTTAACATCAAATACAGTGAGTTACATTTGATTTCAAGGAGGCAGACAAGAAAAGGAAGTGGGTGGATTGATGTGTTCCTGTCTCACGCTCTCATTTTTTCACAGTGCTGGGTATCAAGCCAGGACCTTGTTGATGCTAGGCAGGGGCCTTACCACTGAGCTCCACCCCCTTCGCTTTTTTTTTTAATTAAAAAAAATTCTTTTTTGGTCTTTTTGAGACAGGGTCTCCTTGTAGCCCCAGCTGTCCTGGAACTCACTATGTAGACCAGGCTGGCCTCAAACTCACAAAGATCCGCCGGCCTCTGCCTCCCAAGTGCTGGGATTAAAGGTATGCGCCAACACTCCCAGCTTTAATTTTTATTTTATGTGTGTGTGTGTTGCCTGCATGTAGGTCAGTGCACCCGTGTCATGCAATGCCCACGGAGGTCAGAAGAGGCTGTTGGATCCCCTGGAACTGGAGTTATGGACAGTTGTTAGCTGCCATGTGGGTGCTGGGATTCGAACCCTGGTCTTCTGCAAGAACAGTCCATGTTCTTAGCTGCTGAGCCATCTCTTCAGCCCCCCTCTTCACTTTTTAATCATAGTGATTTTTGTGTTTTTGAGTTTTTAAGACTGTTCTGTGTATGCCACGCTGGCCTCAGACGTCCTCCATAGCCAAGGGCTGGCCTTGAACTCCTTATCTTCTTGCCTCTGCCTCCTGCCTATCGAGATTATAGTTGTGCACCACTGTGCTCAATTTATGTGGTGCTGGAGACCGAACACATGCATGCTGAGCAAGCGCTCTGGTCACTGAGCTCCAGCTCTAGCCCTCAACTACTTTTAATTAAAAAATGGAATTTGGGACTGGAGAGATGTCTCAGCTGTTAAGAGCACTGGCTGCTCTTGCAGAGGACCCAGGTTCAATTCCTAGCACCCACATGGCAGCTAACAACTGTCCATAACTCCAGTCTCAGGGGAATCTCATACCCCATTCTGACCTCTTCGGGTACAGTATGACACAGGTGCACTTACATGCATGTAGGCAATACACTATTACACATAAAATAAAAATAAGTAAAATACTTTAAAAATAAAAATGGGGGTGCTGGAGAGATAGCTCAGCGGTTAAGAACACTGGCTGTTCTTGCAGAAGACCTGGGTTCGAATCCCAGCACCACATGGTGGCTAACAACTGTCTGTAACTCCAGTCCCAGGGGATCTGACAGCCTCTTCTGTCCTCTGCAGGCATTGCAGGACATGGGTGTACTTACCTACATGCAGGCAATACACACATACACATAAAAATAATAAATAAAATATTTAAATAAAAATAAAAATGTAATTTAATGTGGAATAAAAAATAATATGTAAGAGTTAGTGTTTATTCTTCCTAGAACCTTCTTCGTATCCCAAATATCATTTATTTTCTGATATTTTATGTTTTATTCAGGCAATTGGGAGAAAATAGTTTAGCTAGTGGGAATAATATGATTTAACCAGATTGATTTGCTGGTATTTTCCTTCTTTACCATTATTATTATTATTATTATTATTATTATTATTTTGTAAAGGGAGAATGCATGACAGTCTTACTCTGTAGCCAAGGACAGGCCTCAAACTCATGGTGATCCTCCTGCCTCAGCCTTCCAAGTGCTGGGACTGCAGGTGTCACCCACCATGTGTAGCTTTCCTTACTGCTCTAGAGCCCCAAGAACAAGACCATTGAACAGGAAGCACACTTCACTGTGTTTGGACTATGTTTGTAACAGGTTGCCATTGGGCTGAACGCCCAAGACCTTAAAATTAAGACTGGATCTTCCTTACGTGAGGGGCTGAGCCATTCAATGAAAAACCAGTAGATGAGAATGACATAGAAATGAATTTGTAATGCGATTCCCTGCTGTGGTATATGTAGGCAGTTAGTATTTGCCTTTGTTACAATTCTTCAGTGAAGTCTGAGTGAGTGGTTGTTAGTCATGTTTCTGCAGCTGAAACTGAGTAGCCATCCAGAGGCTGCTGATCAGTTGTTACTGTGTGAGACGCAGGTCATGTGCCAGAGCAGGAAACTGAGACCTCTGTTCTTTCTCCAGGGTGCTGCGGGTGTACAGCACACAAAAGAAACGTGTGGCCTTCAATGTTTCAAAGATGCTGGCTGGAATAGGGGCCGAAGGAGAGGTGTAAAATAGTTTTTATTATATTTGTGTTTATTTACTTCATGTGGGTGCAAACATGCCACAGTACTCATGGGAGGGTCAGGGCAGCTCACGGGAGTCAACTACTTCTTCTACTATGTTGGTCCTGGCATGGAACTCAGGTCATGAGGCCTCTTACCTGCTGAGCCATCTTTAAAACAAAGAAAAACAAAATAGAGGCATGGTGCCACATGCCTTTAATCCCAGTACCTGGGAGGCAGAAGCAGGTGGGTCTCTGAGATGGAGGCCAGCATGGTCTATATAGCGAGTTCCGGGGCAGCTGGGGCTACAGGGAGACCCTGTCCCCCCAAAAACAAAAAATAAAAATAAATGATTATACCACCAACCAAACACATACAGACACATGTTGACACGCATATGCGCATGCAGGCTTACTTAACAAAAACAGGTGATCGATTCTCATAAGTAATTGATTTCGCATGCTTGCGTGATTATTTTGTTCATGGTGTGTTTCAGTTTCACTTATTGAGGCAGTAATCATTGGTGAGCCTTGCTGTGGATGTGATGAGTTGAGGAATGACCTCTAAGCTCTGTGTGTCCCAGGCAAGAAGTTTCCGGATGTTTCATGACGACAGCATGAAGTCCTTCTTCCGCAGACTCAGTTTCACTCCGGATGGGTCTTTGCTCCTCACACCAGGTATGTCTGTCAGCTTTTGATTTCCGGGTGATGGCCTGGCCGCATGGGACATCTGTGCCCCTGTTTTGTGGCGCTTTCAGCTCAGGCAGGTCTGCTCAGAGCAGTGGTACCTACCTTGTTGCACATCGGAACCTCCAGTGGGAGCTTCAGAAGGACACTGCCCCCTTTGTCCCCAGAGATGGTGGCTTCATGCTGGCACATGCCCCTTGATGCTGTAATGATTCTCATGGTCACAGAAGTTTGGGAGTTGAGAGACTGGAGTGGCAGATGGTTTCTCTGAGATAAAAAAAAATTAGTATTTAAGCTGAGTGTGGTGGTGCGCTGCATACTAATCCCAGCATTGAGGAGGCAGAGGCAGGTGGACCTCTGTGAGACTGAGGCCAGCCTGGTCTATATAGTGAGTTCCAGGACAGTTGGGGCTACAGGAGACCCTGTCTCAGAAACAAAACAAAACAGCAACAACAAAAGAGCAAAAACTAAGCAAACAAAAACACCAAATCCCCAAGAACCTAAAACCTCAAAAGAAAGCAGTCCTTATGGACAGAGGATGGCGGGTTCTTCACTGGGAGCACTGGGGCTACTGAAGAATGCGTTTAGAATAATCTGACTTTCATGACTTGTTGGCTGACACAGCAAATAAGGAAAAGTGTAGTTTTTTTTTAATATTTATTATTTTTATTTTATGTGCATGCGTGTATTGCCTGCATGTAGGTAAGAGCACCTGTGTCGTGCAGTGCCTGAGGAGGACAGAAGAGGCTATCAGATCCCCTGGAACTGGAGTTACAGTTGTTAGCTGCCAAGTGGGTGCTGGGATTCAAACCTGGGTCTTCTGTAAGAACAACCAGTGTCCTTAACCGTTGAGCCATCTCTCCAGTCCAATTCTGTGTTTTTTAAAACAAATGGACTGAAGGGCTGGAGAGGTGGCTCAGCAGTTAGGAGCACTGACTGCTCTTGCAGAGGACCCGGGTTCGATTCCCAGCACCCACATGGCGGCTACAAACGGTCCTTAACTCCAGTTCCAGGAGAATCCGAAGCCCTCTTCTGACCTTCTCAGAACTGTGCAACATGGTGCACTCACATACATGCAGGCAATACACTCATACATATAAAATAAAAATAAAATTTTTTAAAAAATGTACTGAAAAAAACACCATGTGTAAATATATGTGACTGAGCTGTGACAAAATGATTATGTGAGCCTGGGAAACAGAGGTGATGTCAGTTTGTTACAGTGGGTTGATGACGTGAGATGGGGACAGCTCTGCAGAAAAGAGCTGCAAAAAGATAATTGATACCATCTATTCTCTGCAGAATATGCAAAATTGTAACATGTAAAATGTGTGTCTGTCTGTGTTAAGCATCAGTGAACACGAAGTGGGGGGTATCTGGGAACAGTGGCCCTGATTTCTGTACTTCCTGGGGTGAACAAGGAGGAGCTGCCAGGTCTGACCATTCCCAGAGCACAGCCGGGCTCTGCAGAGGGTGCAGGCTGCGTGTGGACTGGATCTCCTGGTGGCCCCAGGCCTGGCAGGGGAGAAGGGAAAAGGCGGGTATGTCAGCCCTGGGTAACAGTCAGTCTGAATGCTGGGACCAGAGTTGGAGGTGGGGTGTCTCAGGCAGAGCCTGGGCAGCTGGATATGGCCATAGGGTTCAGTCAGCAGGATTTGCCTCTATTCCCAAGCAAAGTATTTTACAGTAAAGGATCCAAACTGTCCTTGCTCTAGGTTTCCACAAGGCTGCTGGCCCTTAGGTGGGGATGACAGGCAGGGAGACCTGGAGCCTAGTGAGACCAGGCAGCGATAGAGTACTTATGTTTGTCCTTGTCACAGAAACATGTCAGAGGATAGCACTTGAGGAAAAATATCTTACAAACCAGAACTGAAGATGCGAGCTTGTGCTGGGAAGCAACTTAATGTGTCTCTGTGCCTCCCTGCCTGCCTCCCTCCCTGCCTGCCTCCTTCCCTCTCTCCCTTCTTCCCTTCTCTCCCCTCCTTCCCTTCCCCAGCTGGATGTGAGGAATCTGGTGAAAACGTGATGAACACAACGTATGTATTCTCCAGGAAAAATCTGAAAAGGTATGCGGTTCGAGTGTTTGAGGCTTTGCCGTTTTGACTTGTGCTGAGCACCATCATTGGTCTCTAACGTCTGGTCCGTCTCACAGACCGATTGCTCACCTCCCGTGTCCTGGCAAAGCCACACTTGCTGTCCGCTGCTGTCCTGTCTACTTTGAGTTGAGGCCGGTGGCAGAAGCAGGTAGCGTCGGAACCACAGTGGGGTGGGGACTTGGAGTCTATCTTGTGGGAGGTGTGTGGGCCTGCTTCAGATCTTTAAATTTTATCTTACTGGCATGCAAAAATACATATTTCGGAGGTACCTTTGATCCTTCAAGGCATATACACTGTGTCATGTTCAAATCAAGGCACATCTCTCTCAAACATTTATACTCTTTGCTGTGAGAATGTGAAATGCAGTATGTTTTACTTACCTGTAATCACCCACAGTGTGTATGTGTCTAATTTTCTTCATTGTCTGGAATATACCTTATTTATAGAAACTTTAGAAAGTATTAGTACGAATTTGCTTCATTTTTCTACTATTGTTATTCTGGCTTTTTAGATTGACTTTTTTTTTTTTGTCTTTTGAGACAGCGTCTCCCTATAGATACAGCTGGCTTGGAACTCCCTATGTAGACCAGGCTGGCCTTGATCTCACAGAGATCCACCTGCTTCTGCCTCCTGAGTGCTGGGATTAAAGGCATGTGCCACCACGCCTGACTTGTTCTGACTTTAAAAGAAAAACTTAATCATTTTATTTTATGTATATGTGTGTTTTGTCTGCGTGTATGTAAGGGCACCCTTGTGTGTGCCCTCCAAGGCCAGAAGAGACTTAGTCCCCGGAAAATGCAGTTATGGGGAGGTTGTAAACTACCGTATAGTTCTGGAGACTAATGTGGGTCCTCTACAAGAGCCCCAAGTGCCCTTAACTGCTGAGTCATCTCGCCAGCCCCTATTTTGTCTTTTTTGAGACAGGGTCTCCCTGTAGTCCCAGCCGGCCTGGAACTCACCATGTAGACCAGGCTGGCCTTGAACTCAAGAGATCTGCCTGCCTCTGCCTCCTGAGCGCTGGGACTAAAGGTGTGTGCCACTATGCCCGTCCTATTTTGTCTTTTTGAGACAGGGTCACATACAGTGTAGGCTGGCCTCAAACCTGTTACGTAGCTGAGGATGACCCTGAACACAAGGGTCACAGGTGTGTACCACTGCACCAGGTTTTAGACAGTGCAGGGTACTGAACCCAGGGTTTCATGCTTGCTAGGCAAGCACTTTACCAACTGAGGTACATCCGTAGTTCCTCCTTCTTTTGTGTGCCTGATCATTTTGATCTTCTGCCATACTGTGAAGTTACCTTAGCAAATGCTGGATATTTTAGTTTTTGTTTGTTTGTTGTTTTGTTTTTCTTCATGGTCTTTTTGAGACAGAGTCTCTGTAGCCCCATCCCGATTGGAACTTGCTATGTAGACCAGGCTGGCCTCAGTCTGACAGAGATCTGCCTGCCTCTGCCTCCCAAGTGCTGGAATTAAAGGTATGCATCACCATGCCTGGCTTAGGATTTTTTTAAGACTCATTTTATTTATATGAGTGTTTGCCTGCATGTATGTATGTGCACCATGTGTGTACAGTGCCTATGGAAGCCAGAAGAGGGCATTGGATCCCATGGAACTGGAGTTACAGGCAGTTGTGAGCCGCATGTGGGTGCTAGGAACTGGGTCCTCCACCCTTTGTAAGAGGAACAAGTGTTCTTAACCACCCAGCCATCTCTCTAGCTTCAAGTGCTAGATATTTTAAGTCCTATAAATACCCTTGAAGTTTGTTCTGAGGTATAGTTGAGTTGCTTAGGAATATTTTGATTCCTTTGTCTATTGGTTTGAGGTTCTTAGGTGGGATCAGGTAGCACTTGGTTCACAACTGTCTTTGGCCCCCCTGAGGCAAAGGCCTCTGAGCTCTCTAACTGATGCTCATGCTGATTTCCCGCTGGGCCCGGGAGAAGCACGCATTGCTGGCCTTGCGTGAGCTTCAGGGGTCCTTCCTCTGTGGCAGATGGTGCTCAGCCTCGGGTGGTACCTTCACTGTCCTATGCTGGCTGGTGCTCAGCTGACAGCTCACTTGTGGTCTGGAGCTCTGCAGCTCTGTCTCTGCCTTGTGAACTCCAGCTGCCTTAGTCTTCCAAGCTCTGAGGCCCAGCTTCTCAGCTGGGAGTCTCCTAAGCTCTGTCTGCAGTCTTGGCCCACGCTGAGCCTGCTAGACAGCCCGTGGAGGTGACTGGAGGCCTCTACGCTCTCACTTTGCCTCTCAGGATCACGCTCCTTCAGTACCAGCTGGTCGTTGTCCTGAGAGCTGCTGTTCACTATTTTTTGCCTTTTAATCCTTGGTGTGAATGAATATAGTCAACTCGACAGAGCATTACAACATCACTTGAGTTGGCATGGTGGCTCACTGAGATTCTGTTATCCTAGCACTGGGGAGGCTGACCCAGGAGGATTGCTTTTTGGGCTTAGCTAGGGCTACATAGTGAATTCCAGGCTAGCCTGGGCTAAAAAGGGAGACGTTTTAAAATAAGACATTTACATATAACCTTGAATAAAAAGAACAGGAAGTAGTGAGTTCTAAGTACCCAGGAAGCAGTGAGTTGTAAGTACCATGAACTAAGGGCCCCGGGCACAGAGTCGTAAACATGAGAAAAGCAGCCAGTCTGAAGGGAAGCTTCCTGATAAGAACTGCTTCATTATTTAGAAACTGTCTCAAGTGTTTCTAAACAAAGTATCTTTATTTTTCATTTTTGTTTTGAGACAGGGTCTCCTGTAGCCCCAGCTGGTCTGGAACTTGTTATATAGACCAGGCTGGCCTCAATCTCACAGAGATCTGCCTGCCTCTGCCTCTGGAGTGCTGGGATTAAAGGTGTGTGCCACCATGCCCTGCAGGAACTGAATTTTTAGTTTTTATTACATTTATTTTGTGCACGTGTGTGTATATGTATGTGTACATGTGTGAGTGCCTACAGGCCACAGTGCATGTGTGGAGGTCAGAGGACAACTTGTAGACGAGTTGGTTCTCTCCTATCATGTGGGTCCTGGCAATCAAACTCAGGTGGTTAAGCCTGGCAACAAAGCACCTTTACCCACTGAGCCACCTCACCAGCCTAGAAACTGAATTCTCACAGTATACAGTAAACTTGTGTTTGGTGAACTGATATTCTTTCCGTCCCCCCAGGAAGAGATATTTGGGGGACTGATTCTCCTTCGGAAACTGTTTTTGTTGCAACTCTGCTCATCCTCCCCTGCAGAGAAGGCGTTGCAGGAGCACGCCGTGGAGCTGGTGAGCCTGCCCTACCGCATGGTGTTTGCCGTGGCCTCTGAGGACTCTGTGCTGCTGTATGACACACAGCAGTCCTTCCCTTTCGGCTATGTCTCCAACATCCACTACCACACCCTGAGTGACATCTCCTGGTGAGCCACTGGTGGTGTCTGCTGGGTAGACCTCTGGGCTGGGGAGCACCTCATCTTTGGGCCTGCTCATCAGGTTCCATAAAGAATGCTCATAAAATTCTTTCTCTCTCATATGTATGTGTATATGTGTATGTGTGTGATACATGAGTACAGGCCTGTATACCGTAGCACACATGTGGAAGTTAGAGGACAACTTTCAGGGTGAGGTTCTCTCCTACCATGGTTCCAGGGATCAGGGCTCAGGTCATCGGGCTTGCATGGCAAGCACTGGTACCTGCTGAGCCATCTCTCCAGACCAACAGTGGGTTTGATCCTGTTCACGTAGCCCTGTAGGATCAATCAACTATCAGTAAACAGAGGGGAAGCCCTGGGGATTGCTGGTCCTTTAGGGACATCTGTGAATGTCCTCACCTGCCGGTGTCACTTGACACCACTTAAGCCTCTGCTCAGCCTTCAGTGTTTTGGGCTTGCCTGGGCTCTAACCACAGCTGCCAGTCCACCACCTATATTTTGCTTTGTATAGCTCTTTTCTTTTTTTTGAGACAGGGTCCCATGTAGCCCAGGCTGGCCGAGCTGAGGGTGACCTTGGACTCCTGATCCTTCTGCCTCCACCTCCCAAGTCCTGGGATGATAGGCATGCACCACGCTGTGCTGGATTTTGAACCCAGGACCTCATGCATGCTAGGGGAACATTCTCCCAACTGAACTATACCCACAGGCCCCTTGTTTTTCTTCTTTTAAATTTTTTTTTCCTTTTAAGTATTTTATTATGGTGTAGGGGAGGGGAGAAGCATATACCACGACTCACAAGTAGAGGTCAGAGAACAGCTTTATGGAGTCAATTCTCTCCTTCCATCTTTACATTGTTTCTGGGGATTAAACTTAAGTGACCAGGCCTATACAGCAAGCACCTTTACCCATCTCATTGGTCTTAAATTTCTTATTTATTTTTGGGAAAGAAGAGAGCACCTTGCCTTTCTCCAGGTGAAGTTGATAACAGGGTGCATAGATCTAGGTGACATCAGAGACTGACAGGCTTGGGAAGGGAGACTGCATGCCTGAGGAACTTGTTCAACTGTCTCTCTGTGCTGTTCCCTTGACTTTTGCCTTCAGACACAACTTGTGTTTGGCTCCAGCTGCTTTTCCTAACTAGGGCACTGTAAGGTCTGTCTGGTCTGAAGACCAATAAAGGCTCTGACTTTTTTCCTTGCTTTGGGAACACAGGTCCAGTGATGGGGCCTTCCTGGCCATTTCTTCCACAGATGGTTATTGCTCATTTGTGACATTTGAGAAAGATGAACTTGGCATACCTTTGAAAGAGAAGCCAGTTTTGAGCTTAAGAACTTCTGATACAGCAAAGAAAACCAAGAGTCAGGCGCACCAGGGGTCTTCACCAGGGCCCAGATCGGCAGAGGGAACTCCCACCAGCAGAATCCAAGATGCCAGCAGTCCCTGTACCACCCCCTCACCAACCACACAGTCTCCAGTCCCAGTCACCGGCAAGGATACGCCCTCTGTGATTCCTGCTGTCAAAAGCTCCTTGCCAGGATCTTCAGAGGAGAAGACCCTGCAGCCTGCTAGTCAGAACACCAAAGCCCACCCACCCCGGAGGGTCACTCTGAACACGTTACAGGCCTGGAGCAAGATAACCCCCAGGTAAGAAATCTGACAGAACACAAAATGGCCATTGTGAAAAGAATCCCAGCCTCCCTCAGGTGAAAAGTCCCCGCAGCAGATACTGAAGGTATTAGCTTCCTACATATAGACCTCTGCTGCCTCCTCTGTTTCCTCCATCAGCTTCTATGGGCCTCTGCTTCCTGTTTCCTCCATCAGCTTCTCCTATGGGCCTCTACTTCCTGTTTCCTCCATCAGCTTCTCCTATGGGCCTCTACTTCCTGTTTCCTCCATCAGCTTCCCCTATGGCCCTCTGCTTCCTTTTCCTCCATCATCTTCTATGGACCTCTGCTGTTTCCTACCTATGGGATAAAACCTAGCTTCTTCCCCATGAGGCAGACTGTGATGTGTTCTCTGTAGCCTCTCATCTAGTCCTGTGGCCTCTCTCCTAAGTCTTATATGTCTTGGATTCAAGCCTAGCCCTAGAGTGGTGTTCCCAGAGCACTCTTTACCCCGTGACTCCTCTGACCCTCCCGGGGCATGTCTTCTCCTGGTGACACTGGAATCTTCTGAAAGCCCTGTCTGAACGTATCTTCTCTTTTCCTTGGGACCCTTGGCTGTCACCACCTGTCATTCTATAGCAGGCATTCTATGTGCCTCTGTCTCCCCTTAGGTTATGAGCCCTGCAAGGGCAGGAAATGTCCTTTTTTACCTGAGTTCTTTCGCTCAAGATGGTATTGGGCACTTCCTGGTGTGTAGGAAATCTAAGAAACACAGTATTGCTGTCAGCTACTGTGACTAAATACCTGAAATGGTCAAGAGGATGGTGGGAGAGCGTGCAGAGGAGGCTGCTCAGCTTGAGGGCAGTGGGGACTGGGGCCTCTATGTTCCCTTCAAGGGCACACCCTCACTATGTAAGTTCATCCCACTGTATTCTACCTCCTGAAGGGCCATAGTCTGCGGACCATCATGCAGGCCTTTGGAGAACACTTCTAAATCCAAATGATTTACAAGTGACTTCTTTTTGTAAAACTTTGTCTTATATTTATTTAAAATGGAAACAGGGTCTCAGCCCAAGTTGGCCTCAAATTTGATATGATCCTTCTGTCTTCACCTCCTGAGTGCTGGTTTTATGTAGGGCTGGAGACTGAATCTAGGGCATTTATCCCAGTACTCTACACACTGAGTTACATCCCTAGCCCCTTATTTTATTTCTGATTGGCAGATAATAACTACATTTGCATGAGGTATTGTGGTACTCTGTTAGGAGTATATATTGTGTACTGCTACCCTTGTCCCTTGGCTGTCCAGTCGGGTAGCAGAACCTGTTCCTGTCCCCCTCCCTCTCCATACTCCAGCCCCTGGTGATCACCATCATAGTTTGAACATCTGTGAGATCAAGCCAGAGGGGCATGATGGTACGTGCCTCCCAGCATATTGGGAAATATTTTTGGTATTAAATTACTTCTTGATTTCTTCTATTTACCATGTTCTTTGCTGTTGTAATTAAAAGACAAATACTGGTTGTGTTTCATCTGTAGAAACCATGATTGTGTGTCTACAGGCTTCAGCGAGGTACTCACCAGACTCTGCCAGCTGTGCTCATGTAGCTTTCAGCTAGGTGTCTGGTTATGGTGTCAGTTGACCATTACAGATGTGATGGCAAAGCTTCACAGGCTATCATCATCCCCACAAAACATGTGAGGATGCTGTTACATTTAATGCCCTGCTTGTTATCAGCTGGGAAAACCTGCATTTTCATTGGTGGTTTTGAAACTGACGCTGATAGGTGGCCCCTTTGTTTTTTTTTTTAAACAAGGAGAATAAACTTAACATCCTTAAAGACAGATGCTGTACAGAATCCTGTGCCCACCAGCATAACTGCCACCTCTTCCACAGAAGAAATCCAGTCAGGTGAGTGTGGCTCTTACTGCTTTGACAGACACTCCTCTTTCGTCCTTGGAATGAGCAGCAACTGTTTTGAAGTCAGCTCAGAGTCAAGGACTCATCTTGTTAGAGCAGTCTTTTGTACTTTACTAGTGGCCTGTTTGTCTCAACAGGGAGTAGGTTCCAGAGGAAAGTCATCAACTTGATGACTGTGGATGTTTTAGGGCAGATAATTAATACTGTAGGGTGTTTAATAGCATCCCCTGATGCCCCTCTTACCCTGTCATATCCTCAAGTGTGAGCAGACATTAGCTGTGTCACTTGACAGACAGGCAGTCGCCCCTGGGTGAGAACCAGTGCTGTAGATCCTTTCCTTGTAACAGTAGAGCGCCTTACCTCTCTTCTGTGTCACCTCTTGACTCAGGAGTCTTCATTACCTGCTGACCTTGTTTGTTAATGTTTCAGAGATACCTGGAGACTCCCAGGGCGATCCTCCAGGAAAGAAACGGCCCAGACTGGAGGAACCTGAAGGAGGCTCCCAAAGCACAGACCCTGAGGAGACCTTGAAGTCGGCCTAAGGCTTGCAAGGGCCGGACCCTGTTTGTGCAGGGAGGGAGGCAAGGCCCAAGACCCTGAGGCTGGTAATGGTGATGTTGGTAGAACAGACACTCATAAATGGATTCTTCCAGCAATCCGTGTGCTCTCGTATTCAGCGTCCCTTTTTAACCTGGGCTCTGGGTGCTGTGCTAGGCTGAGACTGCTTGATGAATTTCTGAAATTAGGAAATCAGTAAACCCTCCCTTAACACTCCTGAAAGTACAGTTCCTTTCTAGGTGTGGTCCTTTTTAAAATCAGCATTTGGAGGAGAAAGTCATGTGAGGTGTATACTGATGCCTTCAGAGTATCTGAAGTTTGTGAAGTGATTGTTGGAGTTAATATTTGACTAGTTGACTAAATTTTGGAAGTTCATTGTTTTTTATTTAAGAAATTTAGTTTTTTATGCGCCTTACGTGTTTTGCATGTTAAGCGCACTGTGTGTGCAATGCCTATGGAGGCCAGGAGAGGGCATCAGATCCCTTGGAACTGGAGTTATGGACAGTTGTTAGCTGCCAGGTGGTTTCTGGGAACTGAACCTGAGTCCTCTGCAAGAACAGCCAGTGTTTTTAACCTCTGAGCCATCTCTCCAGCCCCTGTTTGTTTGTTTGTTTGTTTGTTTATTTATTTATTTATTTTTGTCTTTTTGAGGCAGGGTCTCCCTGTAGCTACAGCTGGCCTGGAACTCTGTGTAGACCAGGCTGACCTCAATCTCCACAGAGATCTGCCTGCCTCTGCCTCCCTTGTGCTGGGACTAAAGGTGTGCACCACCACACCCAGCCTGTTTTTTAATTTTTAAAGATAATACTTAACTCTGAATTAAGTAAATTAAAGTTAAAACTTGAAGGGGGACTTACCCATGGCCCTGCTAGCCTTAGGAGGAGCCCTTACTGATGGTGGAGTGGCTTTCTTAGTGTTTTTCAAACGATAGGATTTAGCTCTGTAGCCCTAGCTGGCCTAGAACTTGTTTTGTAGTCCAGAGTGGCCTTGAACTTGTGTTGATCCTTCTGCCTTGGCCTCTAGAGTGCTAAGATTATAGGTATAAGCCACTATGCCCAGTTTGGTAAAGGGGATTAGAGAGATGGCTCAGCAGTTTAGAGCATTGGCTGCTCTTGCAGAGGACCAGGGTTTGGTTGCCAGCACCACCTGGCAGCTAACAACCATCATGTAACTCCAGTTTCAGGAGATCTGACTGACACCCTTTTCTGGCTTCCGAGGGCACTGTATGACATGGGTACACTTACATACATGCAGGCATAGCACTCAAAATACAAATACATTTTTAAAATAATGGTGGAGAGTGAATGAGGAAAGATGTCGTGTTGACCTCAGGCCTCCACATGCGACACACAGAGAGCGAACAGTGGAGTAGGTCGGGGAGAGGAAGAACACACTCTCTGTAGCTCTGATCAGCAGCAATGAAGAGAGTAGCCAAAAAGAATTTGTGACTTAGTCTACATCCTAGTAAACCAGAGTTGACCTCTCTGTTACCTAGGAAGATGGAAGCTAGGGACGTTCAGTACAACGAACTGAACGTTGGGGCTGGAAATGTGGCTCAGTTGGTAGAGTTCTTCCTTAGCATGCACAAAGCCTTGGGTTCTGTCCCCAGTACTTCATAACAGGGTATGCACACCTGTTATCCCAGTACCAAGGAGGTAGAGCTAGGAGGATCAGGAGTTCAAGGTTGCCTTCAGGTACATAATGAGTTTGAGGTCCATTGAGGATACATGAGACTCTGTACCTGAATGCACAACCATACATGTCATAATGCAGGTGTGGGTCACGTTCAAAATAAGGTTTCAGTATGTCACGTCACATCTGTTTTGACCACTAGCTCTCAGCTACAACTGCACATTGAAGTCAGCTGCTGCCCAGGGTCTCCTTCAGAGGATCAGGCTTCATTGGTCTGTGGTGTGATCTGAACTTGGATGATACAGTCTTGCTATCTAGGTCTGACTGGTCTTGAACTCACAATATTTCTCTTGCCTCAACTTCCCGAATGCCGGGATTACAGGCATATAGCATGCCTGGTTCTGAACAGTTTTCCTAAACTCCTTGATGGACAAATCAGCAGGGGAAAGCTTTCACTAGACATGGTCTGTCTTGGTCAAGTTCATTCCATCAGAGGTCTTTTCAACATTCTACCTGTCATGGGTGTTTACCATGATGTCAGCTTGAAGGACAGTGCAGGGGGCACTGCCTGCTCTTCTGAGGAAAGGTGGCTTCAGAATTGATGTGGCCAGCACTGGGGACAGTTTAGAGTTGTTGATCCCTGGAAAACATGAATGACCTCGGTCCCCTGTATGCAGTGAGCGGCCTGATTCCTGGCTACTCCCAGGGTAGGAAGATGTTAGGGTTTACAAGTTCACACAGCACAGCTGGAGGTGGTTTGGTAGGTAAGCCCTGTGACCGTGACTGGCTGCCTGTTCTCAGCTGCCACCATTGAATATTGCCAGCAAAAGATGAAGTCACATCATCACCTTTTCCTGGGGAGCCGTGTCCATTCACCACAGACAAGACCAATGACAGACCAAAATAACAATTTCATCCAAGCCCAGCTCGATGAATTAGCGAGCTCATTGAGATTACACAGAGTGCAAGTGAGGGCATTTACAGGAGTGTGGGGGATCCCAAAATAGCTGCATCCCTGAAAAATCCCACCCTTTCATGGCTGCCCATCTTGGCTGATGACCTCAAAGAAGTGGCATCGTGGAGTTCCATCTTAAGTTGACCTTCCCCCTCTATACCCTAGCATATCCCAGGGTCCTAGGGTAAGGGTCCTGTGACTCCTGCCCCCAACACACTTGGGGATATTCACGTCACCACATTGTTTACTTTGTTGCCGTGACTACAGGGCTAAGCATAGATCACTATGGTGACCTCTGCCATTATGTCCAATGGTCATGCTTTGTCCATGCCTAGAGGAAAATGCGGTTACAACACATTGATACTAGATGCTTCTATCCAGGTTGTGTACTGGTGAAGCCTTTCAACACAAGCCCAGCCTGCAGGTCAGACAGTGTTCCCCTTCCAGAAGCTTGCCTACCATTTCTGGATGCGACCTTGAGTGGCATTTTCCCTTATTTATGTCTTGAGCAGTGTTTTTGTTTTTCGTTTTCCAGGCGGAGTCTCTGTGCTCTGGCTGGCCTGGTACCCACAGATCACATACTTTCGCAGGAGTGCTGGAAGTAAGGCGTGTGCCACCAAGCCTAGCAAGCAGTTTCTTACTGGGGTTCTCAGGGCAGAAGCCTGGGCTCTGGCAGTCCCAGCTGGCTCAGCCACCATCTCCTTCCAACTAAAGTGATGGTGCAGAGATTAACTCAGTGTGGTCACACTGAGAAGGACAGGTGGGGTTGGGTGGGGTCACTGACTTGAGCTTTAGGTCTAAATAGGGGATGGACTGGGCGGGGGCAAGAGGCATGTACAAGTAAGCCATCCTGGTTAAGGTGTGCTTCTGCCCATCCTCTGGCACCTCAGGTCCTGCAAGGTGGTCAGAAGAAATATTTACCATTGAGGGGACTGGTGGCTCTCAGATAACTGCCCTTGTTGGGGCGAGGGGTGCTCCGTGAGGCTCTGAGGTTCTGGGTATGGATAATGACTCAAGAAATCAAGGGCAAGGACTCTCTTTAGCCTTTAGCCAAAGTAAAGGAGGCAAACAGGCTTCAGGCAGAGTTGCCCAGTGTTCATTCTACTTTTGGTCAACCTCGTGGGCCCAAGTGAGAAGTTAGTGTTTTCATAGTTTATATTTTATTTATCAAAATTGCCTGCCGTTTCCAGTTGTTTCCAGAAACTGCTGTAGAATAGTCTGTACTGTTTGGTGGTTGAAAGAGAATGAGACTTGGGAGAGCAGGTATGATGGCAGACAGGGCTGCCTTTTGCCTAGTTAGGGAGGGAGGCTGAGCACAGGTTCTTTCCCACTGAGCCATCTTGACAGGCCCAGTGTATTATCTGTTGTCTCTCTTCCTTCTCCCCTAGGGACAGAGGTGTGGTGTGGGGTCGCTCCCTCCCCTCGTGGGTCGTTGGCCACCGGTCCACGAGGACAAAGGGAATAGAAGCGACGAACGGGGTCAGGATGGCCAGTGAGCACTGACAGAAGAAAGCCCTTCAGGGGAGGCAGGTTCAGTGATACAAACAGCTCCAGATTCAGTGAAACAGCTCCGTTTATTCAGTGGGAGAACTGGAGGCAGTAGCCAAAGCTTCAGCTGATAGGTGCTCATAGTATGTTTTATTTACATGTGGCAGTTAGGCTCCTATCATCCGACTATGACTATGGGGGGGGGCGATGCCTAATTATCATATAGAAAAAACCTAGGGGTAGTTTTTACTCCAGGTAACTATGCCAAAGGTCATGTTTTAAATGAGGCCAAGCAGCTGTGCTTGGCGGCACTTTCCAGGTAAGTCAGGCAGGAAGCCCCTGCTGAGAAAGGAGGCGACCTTAACAGCAGGGTTCCCCAACAGTGTTTGGCCCATGATTTCATTGTTCTGCACGTTAGTCTTCTCTTAAGGTCTCTTTCCAGCTTTCCACACACAATGCTGCCTACCTTTGTAGAGAAAGAGGCCTGGAGAAGGGCCATCTGCTCTAGAAATGAGAGCTTCAATCACAGTGGGCGGCAAACCAGATCACTCTTGTGTGGAAGAACGCAGGTGTTCCCACTGGCCACTGGAGGGCACTGTGCCCACTGCGAATCTGCTCCTTGGCTTGCCCACAGCCACAAATCCTTCGAATGAGCCTGTCCAGCGTCAGGCAAGGCCAGAGTCTCCTCAGACATCAGCTTTAGGCACTGGTGGCTGGTCCTAGAGCGGAGCATTATTTAACAAATGGAGATTGTGGAGGTAACATTTGAACGCTCATGGCCAAGTTTGTTCACCCAGAAAACTTGGGAAAATTCTCGTAGGTCTGCAGGACACACAGAACCAGACACAAAAGCCTATGCCTTGTGGAAATTGCATTCTGGTTGGCGG